AGATAGATAGATAGATAGATAGATAGATAGATAGCTAGATAGATAGATAGATAGATAGATAGATAGATAGATAGATAGATAGATAGATAGATAGATAGATAGATAGATAGATAGATAGATAGATAGATAGATAGATAGATAGATAGATAGATAGATAGATAGATAGATAGATAGATAGATAGATAGATAGATAGATAGATAGATTGATAGATAGATAGATAGATAGATAGATAGATAGATAGATAGATAGATAGATAGATAGATAGATAGATAGATAGATAGATAGATAGATAGATAGATAGATAGATAGATAGATAGATAGATAGATAGATAGATAGATAGGTAGGTAGATAGATAGATAGATAGATAGATAGATAGATAGATAGAGATAGATAGATAGATAGATAGATAGATAGATAGATAGATAGATAGATAGATAGATAGATAGATAGATTAGATAGATAGATAGATAGATAGATAGATAGATAGATAGATAGATAGATAGATAGATAGATAGATAGATAGATAGATAGATAGATAGATAGATAGATAGATAGATAGATAGATAGATAGATAGATAGATAGATAGATAGATAGATAGATAGATAGATAGATAGATAGATAGATAGATAGATAGATAGATAGATAGATAGATAGATAGATAGATAGATAGATAGATAGATAGATAGATAGATAGATAGATAGATAGATAGATAGATAGATAGATAGATAGATAGATAGATAGATAGATAGATAGATAGATAGATAGATAGAGATAGATAGATAGATAGATAGATAGATAGATAGATAGATAGATAGATAGATAGATAGATAGATAGATAGATAGATAGATAGATAGATAGATAGATAGATAGATAGATAGATAGATAGATAGATAGATAGATAGATAGATAGATAGATAGATAGATAGATAGATAGATAGATAGATAGATAGATAGATAGGTAGGTAGATAGATAGATAGATAGATAGATTAGATAGATAGATAGATAGATAGATAGATAGATAGATAGATAGATAGATAGATAGATAGATAGATAGATAGATAGATAGATAGATAGATAGATAGATAGATAGATAGATAGATAGCTAGATAGATAGATAGATAGATAGATAGATAGATAGATAGATAGATAGATAGATAGATAGATAGATAGATAGATAGATAGATAGATAGATAGATAGATAGATAGATAGATAGATAGATAGATAGATAGATAGATAGATAGATAGATAGTTTGGAAGGAATTTTTTACTAAGCTCGTATATTGCTTTTCTACTTTCCTCCTGTAAGCAACACTTTGGTTAGTAGAGACATATATAGATATTTTACTATATACTCGATAGTCAATAAATCCGTAATAAATTTGTAGGGTTTCTTATAATCAGGCTTAACCGACAATACTGCTTTGATTATTTCTTTCTCCTCAACTACTTTCTTTCTTTTTAGATTAGATATGTATGTACGTACTTATGTGCATAAAAGAAATATGATTAAGATTGTTATAATTAAATAATTTTTCTTTTTTAATATAAATTCGTTTTTTCCCCATTTCTTTTATATTTCGGCTTTTGATGAAAACAACTCAACTCAATGGCAAAATCAACAACAACGAAATAATAACAACAACTTTAACAACTTTGTTTACATCATTACAACAAACAACCGTGTAATGTATGGGAAAATAAACAACTACAACAATAAAAACAAACCCTGCTCTTCCAAATGTTTACTACTTACACCCTCTCCTACTCCAATCTCTCCCTTGCTTGTTCTCTATTATCAACTAAACAACGACATGGATTTTTCTTTATAATGGAAAAAAATTACCACACATTTAAACGGACACACACTTATGTATTTTTAAAATAACGGTTTCTCTCCTGATGGGTGGCGCTGTTATGTGTGTGTCTCTTCATTAAAACTCTACTGCGTATTGTTATTTCCTGTCTAATTCGTATGTTTGTATCTCTGTGTGTGGGTTTCCTTTAGGGAATTACGTTGTTTACGCAATTCCATACATGCGAATTTATTTTTCACGTACATCATGTCAGCACTTCTATGGATACTAACACTCTCTGTACAGGTATGTATGTACTTATAATGATTTTTTGTTTGTATTGTAATGTACATCAACTTTAATTTAAGAAAAGGTATGAATATTTTGACATGTATAAGTAATTTTTATGTTACACACATAAATTCCAGTGCACTGCACATTTTGCATAAATCGTGGAAGGGAGGGAAATGCTTTTCTAAATTGTTTCTTTGTGCATATAAGATTAGGGAGTTAATTGGAAAAATAATTTAAGAAGTGCAATAAACTATATTTCGCAAAATGTTTAGAATTTACCCGATCTTTACAGTACTATAGTTTAGTCTATACTCCAAACTATATTCCAGACTATGGTCTAGTATATAGTCTAGTCTAGGCTATAGTCCAGACTATATTTTTTTTATAGTAGTTTAGTCTATATTCCAGACTATAGTTCAGTCTTTAGACCAGACAATAGTTTAGTTTATAGTACAGACTATAGCTTATTCTATAGTCCCAATTATTGTTTAGTCTATAATCAAGATTACAAGTTTAGTCTATATTCCAGACAATAGTTTAGTACACATTTCAGACTATAGTTTAGTCTATAGTCCAGATAATAGTTTGGTTTATAGTTCCGACTATAGTTAAGTTTATAGTCCAGACTATAGTTTAGTCTATTGTTTAGACTATAGGTCTTGTCTTCAGTACAGACTATAGCTTAGTCTATAGTCCAGAACATACTTAGTTTAGTCTATCGTCCAGAATATTGTCTAGTTTATATTGCAGACTATAGACTAAACTCTAGTTTATATTGCAGACTAGCTGGCCCGACAGACGTTGTCCTGTCCAAATTAGAAAAAATGTTTATGTTCGATTTGTGATTTTAGATAAATCGAAAAAAGTGAGCGTAAAAGTGGGCGTGGTCAATTATTCTTTCAGAAAAACTTTAAATTTGATTACTACGAACATGTTTTAAAAAATTTAGCCAAATCGGTGCAACCGTTTTCCGATTTTAGATAAATCGAAAAAAGTGGGCGTGGTAAATTTTTCTTTCAGTAAAAACTTAAATTAGATTACTACGACCATTTAAATAAAAAATTTAGCCAAATCGGTGCAGCCGTTTTCCGATTTTAGATAAATCGAATAAAGTGTGCGTAAAAGTGGGCGTTGTCAATTTTTCTTTCCGTAAAAACCTAAGTTGGACTATGAGGAACATTTCAGTAAAAAAATTGTCCAAATCGGTCTAGCCGTTCTCAACTGATGCAATTACCAACGAACGACAATTGATTTTTATTTATATAGACTATTGACTATACTCTATAGTCCAGACTATAACCCAGTCTCTAGCCCATACTACATTGTAGTCCACATTCCAGACTATAGTCGAGTCTATGGTCCAGACTATTGTCGAGTCTATAGTCCAGACTATTGTCGAGTCTATAGTCCTAACTATAGTCAAGTCTATATTCCTGAATATAGTCGGGTCTATAGTCCTGACTATAGTCAAGTCTATAGTCGAGTCTATAGTCCTGACTATAGACGAGCCTATAGCCCTGACTATAGTCGAGCCTATAGTCCTGACTATAGTCGAGTTTATAGTCCTGACTATAGTCGAGTCTATAGTCCTGACTATAAGTCGAGTCTATAGTCCAGACTATAGTCGAGTCTATAGTCCAGACTATAGTCGAGTCTATAGTCCAGACTATAGTCGAGTCTATAGTCCAGACTATAGTCGAGTCTATAGTCCAGACTATAGTCGAGTCCAGTCAAAGCCAGTCGAGTCTATAGTCCAGACTATGGTGGAGTCTATATTCCAGACTATAGTCGAATCTATAGTTCAGAGTATAGTCGAGTCTATAGTCCAGACTATAGTCGAGTCTATAGTCCAGACTATAGTGGAGTCTATAGTCCAGACTATAGTCGAGTCTATAGTCCATACTATAGTCGAGTCTATAGTCCAGACTATAGTCGAGTCTATAGTCTACTCTATAGTCAGTGTTTGTTCTATGTGCATAACCATTTTTTTTTATTTCAGATTTTCTAAATCATGAATTTCAAATATATTTTTGAATTTTCTTAAGAATTTTGTATTAAACAAAAACTTTCTTTGTGGCTAACATCTGGTTTAGTAAATTTTTTATGATTTCTTTTGCAGATTTCAACGCATACCAGTTTGGGTGGTTGTATTGTCCTGGTAACACTTTTCCATTTTTTTACTTTAACCAATTTCTTTTGGATGCTAGTTGAAGGTAAGTTTATTTTGCAAATAAATAACTTTTCTTTATGTTACTTGTGAAGTAGCATTTCTTAAGTATCAATAAAAAATATTTTGTAGTTTTAAGGTTTTAAGTTTTGGGTACTTGTAGCGTATAGAAAGTAATAAAGGATATTATCATAATGGTTTCTGTATTATTGTTATTGGCTGTTGGTGGGTGTTTTATAACTTACTAGTTTTTGGTTATTAACACGTTGCATACGAGTATTATGGTTGTAAATAAAGTTTTGTTATAAAATAGTTTAGGTATTTTTTTTTTATTTTCTTATTTTTGCACAAAAGTTTTATGACCTTTTAAGTACGTACAAGTTATAAAATATTTGTAACAGGAAAATGTTTTATTCTTCGAAGTTGAATAGTAGAATCAATTAAATATTAATAAAAGTTTGAAGGCGCTTTATAAAGGTATTTTAAAAAGTTAAAAAAGGAAGTTTTTGAAGAAATTTCTTGTAGTATTGCTGAGGGAGTAGTATTGGCTTTTGTTCTGTTTTGGAGTAGAAAATAAGATATAAAGATCAGTTTAGGCTATGTAAAATTTAGTAAAAATATGTTAATTAGATTAGGAAATAACTGGACTTAATAGTTATTTTCAAATAAAATGATAAACTTCTTGTATAAACCCTTATCTTCATGGTAAGGACATATAGGTAATTAAAACCCAAGTACAACAACACCCTTATCATCGGCAGCCAATAATAATAAAACTGTTATACAAAATATTCCAAAAAAAAAATTACCCCCGAAATTTGGTTAAAAAAAGAAACACACTTATATCAACATATTTTTATCCTGAAGCCAGATTTTAAAACAATAATACATATTTAACTGAATTTATTTATAAAAAAAACATATTTTGTTTATTTTCTTTTCATTTTTCTTCAAACTCTTTTGAAATTTCCACCGAAACTCATTGAAAACAATGGCTACTGATGTGTGCTTTGAAAAAAAAAACTAAGGACTTTATCTGTATATATTGGTGGTGAAAACCTTTTCGGGTGATAATATCAGATTTAATGTATATGCCTTGATTGGTTGGGGTAAGTAGTTATTATATTTTGTTCCCTCAATTATAATTTAAAACAGTTAATGAAAACAGACACTGAATTTATAAATCAACACAACTTACACAAACCACAGGCTAAAATGAAATAAATATAAAATTAATGAGAACCCAAAAAATATAAAATGCAAAAAAAAATATATATAAAACTAATAAAAAAATAATAATTATATCCTTAAGGTTGCTATTGCTACCGCTATTAAGGGTGTACTTAATTATTTTCATGTTTTTAATTGCTTTACATAAATATTAACAGAAATATATACAAATACAACAATACCAAATAAAAAATATACAATGAAAACAACAATATTATTATAATACACTTTGTTGTTATTGTTGTATTAAAAATTCATCTCTTGAAATGTGTGCGTGTTTGGTTAATATAACTCCTACTCAAAATTCTTTATAAGCAGAGAAGCCAAAAAGTATGCTTTAAAAACAGGTTTAGAAGGCATTTAGAAATTATGCTACAAAATGTATGCTTTTTCTAACTAGTCGATAGTCTAGTCAATAGTCTAGTCTATAGTGTAGTGTCTATAATCTAGCCTATAGTCTAGTCTATAGTCTAGTCTATAGTCTAGTCTATAGTCTAGTCTATAGTCTAGTCTATAGTGTAGTGTATAGTAGAGTGGGTCGGTCTCTATGGACAAAAAAAAAAGTTGTGTCAGTCACCCCCTAGGTTTAAAGATATGTTAATAACATTTCCAAAAATATAAAAAATATTTTTTTGCCACGCTTAGAAATACCGCCCTTTTAGTTTTTTATATATTACGCCGCCATTTTAAGTCCGATCGTAACATGTCATATATCAACATTTATGGCTTGATTGTAGCTATATTTCACTCTTAGAAAATTTTTTAATTCGACGACATATTCTATGCGCGACTTCTGATATCTCGGATCCTTCCCCAAAATCGAAAATTGTGGCTATACTGGAATAAAGTATATTGAATTATATGAACTATTAGCTTTTAAAATGCTCACTTTTATGCATTAACACCTATTTTATAGATATTTGAAAATGTTCAAGTATTTATCAACCGTTCTCATAACAAACAATTAATTTGCCATTTAAACCATGTAATCAAACTACAAGTCGCAATTTTCCAGATAATTTGATGAAAATATTTCATTCTACCAAAGGACGAAGTTGTTTGAAAATGGATTAAATCGGAGCTCTTAATTGTGGCTTGCCGTTATTTCCCTCTTAAACACTTCCATTATGAAGAAATTCTGCATATCTAACTCCTATATGAACATAAATCCCTCCACCAAATTTTGATAGGATCGGTCTATAATTGATCCTAGCTCCCATATATAGGCTCTTTCAGAAAATTTGTTTTTCATCAATAAATTGCTTAAAAAGTAATGGACAAATTTCAATATAAATGCTTTATTAAAAAAGAAATCATATTTTAGATATGCTCATAACTGGTATCATATGGTCGGCCATTCCCGACTAATATTTTTTTATTAGTTTTTATTTCAAGAACTTCTTTAAAAATATATAACTATTTAAGAAAAGTTAATCTATCATTAAATAAATTTATTACATTTTATAAAAATTAGTATAAACATTTTTGAAAATTGTTTAAAAAAGAACCAAGAACATGCAAGTAATTGTATGGTAAAAACAAGAAATATTTTTATAAAGCATAACTCTTTAATTTTGCATAGATTTTTATAAAATTAAATGTTTAGTTTTTATGTACCTACGTGATTTTGTTATTTATTAATAAAATTAAATGCCGAATAAAATTATCCTTCTTGTGTTAAGATAAGGGCAGAATGAAATTTGTGTATTGTAAATTAATTTGAAAAAATAGTTTTCGACCATATCCCTAGCAAATTAATTGTTTGTAGTTAGAACTATACAGGTATTTTTAAATACCTGTAAAATAGGTGTTAATGCATAAAAGTGAGCATTTTAAAAGCTAATAGTTCATATAATTCAATGTACTTTATTCCAGTATAGCCACAATTTTCGATTTTGGGGAAGGATCCGAGATATCAGAAGTCGCGCATAGAATATGACGTCGAATTAAAAAATTTTCTAAGAGTGAAATATAGCTACAGTCAAGCCATAAACATTGATATATTATATGTTACGATCGGACTTAAAATGTCGACGTTATATATAAAAAACAAAAAGGGCGGTATTTCTAGGCGTGGAAAAAAATATTTTTATATTTTTGGAAATGTTATTAACATATCTTTAATCGTAGGGGGTGACTGACTCAACTTTTTTTTTCGACCCACCCTAGTGTATAGTCTAGTGTATAGTCTAGTGTATGGTCTAGTGTATAGTCTAGTATATAGTCTAGTGTGTAGTCTAGTGTATAGTCTAGTGTAGTATAGTTTAGTCTATAGTCTAGTCTAGTGTATAGTCTAGTGTAGTATAGTTAGTCTATAGTCTATGTCTAGTCTAGTCTAGTCTATAGTCTAGTCTATAGTCTAGTCTATAGTCTAGTCTATAGTCTAGTCTATAGTCTAGTCTATAGTCTAGTCTATAGTCTAGTCTATAGTCTAGTCTATAGTCTAGTCTATAGTCTAGTCTATAGTCTAGTCTATAGTCTAGTCTATAGTCTAGTCTATAGTCTAGTCTATAGTCTAGTCTATAGTCTAGTCTATAGTCTAGTCTATAGTCTAGTCTATAGTCTAGTCTATAGTCTAGTCTATAGTCTAGTCTATAGTCTAGTCTATAGTCTAGTCTATAGTCTAGTCTATAGTCTAGTCTATAGTCTAGTCTATAGTCTAGTCTATAGTCTAGTCTATAGTCTAGTCTATAGTCTAGTCTATAGTCTAGTCTATAGTCTAGTCTATAGTCTAGTCTATAGTCTAGTCTATAGTCTAGTCTATAGTCTAGTCTATAGTCTAGTCTATAGTCTAGTCTATAGTCTAGTCTATAGTCTAGTCTATAGTCTAGTCTATAGTCTAGTCTATAGTCTAGTCTATAGTCTAGTCTATAGTCTAGTCTATAGTCTAGTCTATAGTCTAGTCTATAGTCTAGTCTATAGTCTAGTCTATAGTCTAGTCTATAGTCTAGTCTATAGTCTAGTCTATAGTCTAGTCTATAGTCTAGTCTATAGTCTAGTCTAGTCTATAGTCTAGTCTATAGTCTAGTCTATAGTCTAGTCTATAGTCTAGTCTATAGTCTAGTCTATAGTCTAGTCTATAGTCTAGTCTATAGTCTAGTCTATAGTCTAGTCTATAGTCTAGTCTATAGTCTAGTCTATAGTCTAGTCTATAGTCTAGTCTATAGTCCAGTCTAAAGTCCAGTCTATAGTATAGTATATAGTCTAGTCTATAGTCTAGTCTATAGTCTTGTCTAGTCTATAGTCTAGTCTATAGCCTAGTCTATAGTCTAGTCTATAGTCTAGTCTATAGTCTAGGTTTGGAGAGGTTTGTGTTTGCTGTTCAGCATATCCACGGGTTATTACAGGATTTCCTTGCTCAATGAGGTCTCGTGTTTTAATATACGCAGCCCTTATTGCAATCACTTGCTCCTTGATGGGAATATGGACGTTGTTTCGAGGTTTAACGTAATCCATGAGGTCAACTATGAGGTTTCCGAGTTCTACGAAGGCACCATACTTCTGCTTCGGACTTTGCTCATTTCCACCGCTCAAAGTAATAGACTTTTTTGTGGCGGAACGTCTATGGGGGGGAATATTTCCCTTATTGGTACTTGTAGCATTATCTGCTACTCCAGCCAAGCTCGAAACCGGAGTAGCATTGCAGTCGTGGGATAACGACGACGGGTAGCCTGCTTGCTCACTACACTCAGCCGCCGGTACTGGGGTCATTACTCCCTGCACCGTAACATTTGTTTCATTCTGGGACTTTTCCATATTTTGTTTTTTCTAGTCTATAGTCTAGTCTATAGTCTAGTCTATAGTCTAGTCTATAGTCTAGTCTATAGTCTAGTCTATAGTCTAGTCTATAGTCTAGTTTATAGTCTAGTCTATAGTCTAGTTTATAGTCTAGTCTATAGTCCAGTCTATAGTCCAGTCTAAAGTCCAGTCTAAAGTCCAGTCTATAGTATAGTCTATAGTCTAGTCTATAGTCTAGTCTATAGTCTAGTCTATAGTCTAGTCTATAGTCTAGTCTATAGTATAGTCTATAGTCTAGTCTATAGTCTAGTCTATAGTCTAGTCTATAGTCTAGTCTAGTCTATAGTCTAGTCTATAGTCTAGTCTATAGTCTAGTCTATAGTCTAGTCTATAGTCTAGTCTATAGTCTAGTCTATAGTCTAGTCTATAGTCTAGTCTATAGTCTAGTCTATAGTCTAGTCTATAATCTAGTGTATAGTCAGGTATATTGCATAACTTTCGGTTTCTCTGCTTATTATTATATTAATTGTTATTTAGCCAACCTGTTAAAGTTGTTTTGCTTTTGCTTTGTGTGTTTTTTCCTCTGCATAATTAATGAGTAACAATAAAGAGTTGTCTATACTGATAATAACAATAATGAATTTTTTTAACATATTTTAGGTGGTCCTGCTGTCTTTGTTGTTGTTTGGTCTATAGCCAAAGGTCTGACAATGTCATCTGCCACAACTGATCAGGTAAGTTAACAATAAATAACAATATACTCATGCATATGAGTAGAAATACAATATGTATGTATAATGTTTAAACATATGTATAACAAGCATATCGCTCATGTACTTTATATGTGTCTTAACTAAAAAAATGCAGGTATTTTGCACGGAGTACTATACTTTCAAAATAAAATAAGAAATCTATTTAGCAGCTTTTATATTTTAAATCTTATTCTCTTTTTAACAAATATTAAAATGATTTGAAATTTTTAAGTTTGAATTTTTTTTAGCAATGTTGAACTATGACTCTTTCCAAGTAAACAAACGTAATGTCTATTTGTATATCAAAGGGGATATTTGTGCATTATTTTTGTGTAAAATATGAAAATGAAATGTCAAGGTACTCTTAAATACAAGAAATTATTAATGTTTGTTAAAATAAAACTGAAAGGCAGACTGAAATGTCTATTCAATTTATTTTTTCCAACATAACACAAAAGAATAAGGTTATTAATGATTTCGAGAATCGTATTGAATTCAGAACTCAGTCATTATTGTTATTTGTAGGTAATTATGATGGTTAAATTAAAAAGCTTTAGTCAAAATGAGTTAGATATTTACAATAAGGAGGAATGAGGATACAAAATATTTCAAGAATTGTTATAGAACCTGTATACTGCCAATGAATCCTTTCACTTGAACCAGTTCTACACTGAATAGGGACTCTAAATTCAGGGTCCATTTATTTACAGGGTCCTATAATTTTTTGAAATGTAAAAGTTAAAAAGGTACACCCTAATTTATATGTATTTGTTAAGTATAGAAGAGTTTTTTTTGAATTTGTTCAAGTACTTATGTATTGTTTTGTTATTGTTGTTGGGAAATAATGACATAAAACAAAAACATCATTATTACCGTCTGCATATAATTTATGATCTTTTTATTTCCATACAGATACAAATAGAGGGTTGTCCGTGGATGCAAGAAACTCATGTGGACTGGATATTTCAAGGACCTGTTTGCGTGGTTTTAATAATAAATTTAATATTTCTATTGCGCATCATGTGGGTGAGTATAAAACAAAATTATTTAAAAGAACTTTTCATAAATAAATAGGAATTTTATCATAAATTGACATAAAGACTATAGACTACACTATAGACCAGACTATAGACTAGACTATAGACTAGACTAGACTATAGACTAGACTATAGACTAGACTATAGACTAGACTATAGACTAGACTATAGACTAGACTATAGACTAGACTATAGACTAGACTATAGACTAGACTATAGACTAGACTATAGACTAGACTATAGACTAGACTATAGACTAGACTATAGACTAGACTATAGACTAGACTATAGACTAGACTATAGACTAGACTATAGACTAGACTATAGACTAGACTATAGACTAGACTATAGACTAGACTATAGACTAGACTATAGACTAGACTATAGACTAGACTATAGACTAGACTATAGACTAGACTATAGTCTAGACTATAGACTAGACTATAGACTAGACTATAGACTAGACTGTAGACTAGACTATAGACTAGACTATAGACTAGACTATAGACTAGACTATAAAAGTAGATTATAGACTAGACTATAGAAGTAGACTATAGACTAGACTATAGAAGTAGACTATAGACTAGACTATAGAAGTAGACTATAGACTAGACTATAGAAGTAGACTATAGACTAGACTATAGAAGTAGACTATAGACTACACTATAGAAGTAGACTATAGACTAGACTATAGACTAGACTATAGACTAGACTATAGACTAGACTATAGACTAAACTATAGACTAGACTATAGACTAGACTATAGACTAGACTATAGACTAGACTATAGACTAGACTATATACTAGACTATAGACTAGACTATAGACTAGACTATAGACTAGACAATAGACTAGACTATAGACTATAGACTAGACTATAGACTAGACCATAGACTAGACTATAGACTAGACTATAGACTAGACTATAGACTAGACTATAGACTAGACTATAGACTAGACTAGACTATAGACTAGACTATAGACTAGACTAGACTAGACTATAGACTAGACTATAGACTAGACTATAGACTAGACTATACACTAGACTATAGACTAGACTATAGACTAGACTATAGACTAGACTATAGACTAGACTATAGACTAGACTATAGACTAGACTATAGACTAGACTATAGACTAGACTATAGACTAGACTATAGACTAGACTATAGACTAGACTATAGACTAGACTATAGACTAGACTATAGACTAGACTATAGACTAGACTATAGACTAGACTATAGACTAGACTATAGACTAGACTATAGACTAGACTATAGACTAGACTATAGACTAGACTATAGACTAGACTAGACTATAGACTAGACTATAGACTAGACTATAGACTAGACTATAGACTAGACTATAGACTAGACTATAGACTAGACTATAGACTAGACTATAGACTAGACTAGACTATAGACTAGACTATAGACTAGACTATAGACTAGACTATAGACTAGACTATAGACTAGACTATAGACTAGACTATAGACTAGACTATAGACTAGACTATAGACTAGACTATAGACTAGACTATAGACTAGACTATAGACTAGACTATAGACTAGACTATAGACTAGACTATAGACTAGACTATAGACTAGACTATAGACTAGACTATAGACTAGACTATAGACTAGACTATAGACTAGACTATAGACTAGACTATAGACTAGACTATAGACTAGACTATAGACTAGACTATAGACTAGACTATAGACTAGACTATAGACTAGACTATAGACTAGACTATAGACTAGACTATAGACTAGACTATAGACTAGACTATAGACTAGACTATAGACTAGACTATAGAAGACTATAGACTGACTATAGACTAGACTATAGACTAGACTATAGACTAGACTATAGACTAGACTATAGACTAGACTATAGACTAGACTATAGACTAGACTATAGACTAGACTAATAGACTAGACTATTAGACAGACTATAGACTAGACTATAGACTAGACTATAGACTAGACTATAGACTAGACTATAGACTAGACTATAGACTAGACTATAGACTAGACTATAGACTAGACTATAGACCTAGACTATAGACTAGACTATAGACTAGACTATAGACTAGACTATAGACTAGACTATAGACTAGACTATAGACTAGACTATAGACTAGACTATAGACTAGACTATAGACTAGACTATAGACTAGACTATAGACTAGACTATAGACTAGACTATAGACTAGACTATAGACTAGACTATAGACTAGACTATAGACTAGACTATAGACTAGACTATAGACTAGACTATAGACTAGACTATAGACTAGAATTTTTCAATAAATTTTCGTTAAATGTTCTTTATTACCAGTCCTACTGTAATCGAATCAATTCAATTCATTAATTTAATTTTGTCTCTCTTCCTTCCTCTCCAAATGTATTTTTTTCTACTTAGGTGTTGATAACAAAATTACGTTCTGCCAACACGGTAGAAACCAGACAATACCGTAAAGCAGCTAAAGCTTTATTGGTGTTGATACCATTGTTTGGCATCACATATTTAGTTGTATTAGCTGGTCCCAGTGAGGGTGGTGTCATGAGTCATATGTTTGCCATATTACGAGCTCTACTGCTAAGCACCCAAGTAAGTAGTAATTAGAATAACGATAACAATCTGTTTGCGAAAAAAAGTAAAACGAAATAAAAAGTGTCCTCACAATTAATTAAATTTCTTATTTTGACAGGGATTTTCAGTTTCATTATTCTATTGTTTTTTAAATTCTGAAGTCAGAAATGCTTTAAAGCATCATATATCAACATGGCAGGATTCTCGTAATATAAGACTAAATCAATCAAGAAGGTATAAATTGTAAACAAAAAATCTTTTTACGCAATATTTCAAGAGAAAATGTACTTTAACATTTCTTATGTTTTGTATTTAATTTCCTACTTTTTTTTTTATAAAGATACGTTTCCAAGGGTTTTGCCAAAGATACTTCACCCAATACGGAAAGTAAAAGGTAAACAGGGGAAGTAAACCCAATATATCTAATGCTAACTATTACTAAAATTTCTGTGAAAAGTATTCTATCCCTGCTATACATTTGAAAATTTTAAACAAAATCCTTTTTTTTCAATTTTCGTTTACCACAGGCCTTTAACTTCGTATTATGGCAAGGGTAAAAGAGAATCGTGTGTTTCATCGGCCACAACCACAACATTAGTTGGTCAACATCATTCTCTATCGTTACAACGTGGCTCAAATGGTGCTCTACACATGTTGCCCACCGCTACCGCTCTAACCGTTATGCCCCGGGCTGTTAGTCCTTTGATGAAGGTAAATTTATATTTTTTGTTTTACTTGTCTTTTGTGTGTATTTTTCATTTATATTTATTTGTCTTCCTTTATTTTTTTTTTTTGCTCATACATATATTAGCATTGATTTTGGTTTTGTTTTCACATAAATCGATTTGATTTTAAATTAAAGGTGGTTCTTTGAAGAAAATTTAATGCAAACAAAATATTAGGTTATTATAGCAAAAAAAGAGCATAAATATGGGTTTGTTGAAATATGTATATTTATTAAATAAAAAATGTTAAATTCATATCTATTACAAAGTTGTAATCTCTTAGCTTTAGTTTTGTAATAGAGATTTTTTACAGGCTTTTCTACGAAAAATTGTGGTTTAAATTAGATAGATGTTATATTTTGCTTGAAAATGGTAAAATTTTAGGAATATTTTTTGTTTAACTGAGATTATCCTTAGCTATGAAGACAAATTAAATTTTATTTTAGACACCTGCTATCGCCTAGAAATTAAAAAGATTAGAACAAAGCTCACCCAAAAAGAAGAGAGGAATAAGAATCATTAATAGTAGCAGGGCAACTTATACTATGGTTGTAACTGTAACTGTAACTACTGCGAAGAACGAACGAACGAACGAACGAACGAACGAACGAACGAACGAAACGAACGAACGAACGAACGAACGAAGAACGACGAACGAACAACGAACAACGAACGAAACGAACGAACGAACAACGAACGAACGAACGAACGAACGAACGAACGAACGAAACGAACGAACGAACGAACGAAGAACGAACAAGAACGAACGAAACGCGAACGAAAGAACGAAGAACGAACGAACGAACGAAAACGAACGAACAAGAACGAACGAACGAACGAACGAACGAACGAACGAACGAACGAACGAACAACAACGAACGAACGAACGAACGAACGAACGAACGAACAACGAACGAACAACGACAACGAACGAAAACGAACGAACAACGAACGAACGAAACGAACGACAACGAACGAACGAACGAACGAACTAACTAACTAAAAACTAACGAACTAACTAACTAACTAACTAACTAAACTAACTAAAAAAACTAACTAACTAACGAACTAACTAACTAACTAACTAACTAACTAACTAAAAAACTAACTAACTAACTAACTAACTAACTAACTAACTAACTAACTAACTAACGAACTAACTAACTAACTAACTAACTAACTACCTAGTAAGTAAGTAAGTAAGTAAGTAAGTAAGGAGTAAGTAAGTAAGTAAGTAAGTAAGTAAGAAGTAAGTAAGTAAGTAGTAAGTAAGTAAGTAAGTAAGTAAAAGTAAGTAAGTAAGTAAGTAAGTAAGTAGTAAGTAAGTAAGTAAGTAAGTAAGTAAGTAAGTAAGTAAGTAAGAAGTAAGTAAGTAAGTAAGTAAGTAAGTAAGTAAGTAAGTAAGTAAGTAAGTAAGTAAGTAAGTAAGTGAAGTAAGTAAGTAAGTAAGTAAGTAAGTAAGTAAGTAGTAAGTAAGTAAGTAAGTAAGTAAGTAAGTAAGTAAGTAGTAAGTAAGTAAGTAAGTAAGTAAGTAAGTAAGTAAGTAAGTAAGTAAGTAAGTAAGTAAGTAAGT